ATTAAAAGTAAACAAGTAAAATAAAAAGATTATAACTTTATAATTTGCATATTGCTTTTATACAGACGTATAGAAATAAAAGTAAAAGATTAGGTGCAGCTTAATAAATGAGTCATTCAAGCCAATTAAAGCGTTTGAAAATCAATTATTTTCATGAAAAGAAGAAACAGAAACTAAATTAGTTTAGTTTTAAATTTCCATTAAAAAGTTGTGATTAGTGCGGTACAATTAAAACGATGAAAAGAAACAAACTGTTTTGATCGGCAGCATCGACTGCGCCGCCCTTCCTGCTCCTGCTCCTGAGGAACTCCTGTATACTACGAACAAGAAAATAAAGTTTGTGGTTTTACTCCTTTTTTTTCTTGAGTTAAAAGGGTGGGGAAAAACTCTGAGAAGCAGTCTTTGAAAGGAAAATGAAGTTGTTTTGTGTTACTTGATGACAGGGGCTTGTGGTGGGGGTGGAGGGGGTGGAGGTGGTGGAGGTGGAGCAGGTTCGTTCACCAGTTCCTCAGGTTTGTTTTCTTTGCTCAACGTTTCTTGTAACTGTTTCACTGCAAAGAAAAGAGGGAAAATACAGATGGGGGAACGTTCAAAGGGTGTGAACACTTTGGAGTTTGCCCGCTTTGTCAGTTTAGTCCAAATTCATCTGTTTCATCAAACTGAAGTCATTCAAAATGCAATCTGCAGCAGGTAAGATATTAATTGTTCATAACCCYATTTTAAATGATTTGAACAATCCATTAAGCATCATCACTACTCTTTCTTTCAAACAGCTACCTTCCTCCTGCAGCTGAGTTACAGATGTGTTAGCCTGAGCCAGCTGTGCTTCCAGATCCTTCCTCTCCTCCTCACTTTTCTCCAGCTGCTCTCTCAGGCTCTGCAGCTCGGAGCCGCTCTCCTCATCATCGGCACCTTTACTCTGTTTCACCTGAGCACGAGGACAGGAGAGGCTGAGGCAGGTCGACAGCACAAATCCATAAATCCAATCTGCGTTACAGTCCGAGCCGTTAGCCCACCTGCTCCTGGTAGTAGAGCTGGACATCGGTCAGGACTGTGCTGATGGTGGATATTTGCTCCAGCGCCTGCTGCAGCTGCAGCTGCACATCACTTCCAGAGARGCCAGCCTCCATCAGGTTCCATCTTTGGGCCGTTGTTTGCTCAGTCAACATCTGATGAGACCGAAAAAAAAAACTCAAACATTTTCAACAAATCTTTATAATCATCTGCTTCGAAGAAAATAGAAAAGAAATCCTTGTGCCGCGATGAGCCACCATTAGAGGACAAWGGCAGGAATTGAATTGCTGGTTGTAGGATTTCTCCCAGCAGGAGGTTGTCACGACYCAGGCGAAATGTTTTCAAACCAGCGTTTGACTGAACAATGACTTGGAAGCCGTCATTACTCCTCAGCTTCACTGTAGAGCAGGAAACAATGTGAAGGAGATGATTTTTTCCCRTCTGAGACAAAACATCATTATTCTTCTATTAGAATAAAAAACAATCAGACTTTGCCTCATTTCACTGAGAAAATGTTGGTCTTCCTCCATAGTTTCGACAGCTGAATACACCAGTTAATGTTGGTAACTGGTGTGTTGAGCTTCTATTATCAGAGCCCTTCAAATAAACACTTTGTGCTCTTACATGAGATCTGTTCTCTTCAAAAAGAATTCAACAAAAATGAATTCAAAACAGCAATTTATGATCCAAACTTATCATTAAAAATCAATACAATAAGAATGAGATTATTTTATGAAAAGTAGACATCTGCTTGCTAAGAGTTCAGCCACACTTACATTTGAAATGTTCACCCCTTCAGATGCTAGAGAGAATGGGGGGGCATATAAATATCTAACTTTGTCTGTTCAAAAGTGGTGAAAATACCAATTTCTTGTTTGTATATAATAACCACCAAAACAAGTAAATTTACAATATTAAAACTCTCAGTTCTACTTTTTTATTTTTCAAAATAAAAGTTTGTATCTATTCTTTTGTAACTAAAACACCTAAACGATCTCTGGAAACGTTTACATTTCTCAGATGTTGATTGTGAAAAAGTCCTCTGTAATTCCCGTTGCYGGTGGTAATCAGCTCTAGACGGTGCTTTGATTGGGTTCATGGGCCCAGTTCTGGCCCACACAAACATACAAACAGTCGACCCAGATACTGCAAGGAATGACGGCCCTTTGGTGGCCCAGATGTGGTTTGCCAGAGCTGGTCCAAGTAAGTTTAATTTCAAGCGTGAAAGCAMTTACACACCAAATGGTGAGTTCATGAATGTTGGTTTGGATGGAGGATGGGGTTAGTTTGCTCACACATGTTACAAAAAGCTCTCTGCTGTTGTTCATCTACTCGAACACAAAATATACTGACTGCAGCTGTCTGTAGTTTCACACCAATGCTGGGCGTTTCCAGTAAACTCCAGTCTGACACGAGGGTTTAAAAAGCTTCAGGAGAAAACAAACAGCTGAAATGCTGCAAAAATGCTTTTGTTTTGTTTAGTAATCCTGATCATAACATAACATTTGATGATCTTCCAGCCAACAACCAGATGAAAATGAAGACCCGAAACCCAGACCCAAACCAGTCATCATTCCAAATGTGGCGGGAGTTTCAGAGAAACTGAGACGTTTATTTTCCAAACATGACGACCCAGTGGCTTTCAAACCCCAAAACATGTTACGACAAAGATTAGTTCATCCCAAAGATCCAGTTCCCCAGCAAAAATAGAGTAATATAGTATATGCTGTGAAGTGTCAGGAGGACTTTGATCAGTTATACATTGGGGAAAAAAAACAGCCAATGTTCAAAAGAATGAGCCAGCACAGACGAGCTACGTCGTCGGGTCAGGACTCTGCAGTTTTCACTCATCTACAGGCCAGCAGTCACTCTTTCAGAGATGAAGATGTTCTCATCCTTGATAGAGTGAGWGAAACAGGCAGGAACAAACCCAGGGTGCAGGCAGGCTCAAAAAGTATAACAAAAATTTATTAAAGGGTAACAAAAACTGCTGTAGAACAGCTCAACTTACAAAAACACGGAGATCACACAGGCAGGGGGAACAAAGCACAATAAACCGACACAAGACTGAGACGAGACAGGACTTAAATACACTGACAACTAATTGATGAAC